TATGTATTAGGCATATGACTGTATCCATATACCTAACTTAAATACCTGTATATCTATAATTACATGTTCCTACAGTGGGAAGCCCGGCCAGCCGAGGCGGGCGCGCGCTAGCGTTTACAATTACAGACTGACACGGCATGTCATGTCTGCTGACGATATACTGCAAACATCAGGGAGCAAGTTCCCCGCGTACGCAGTCGGGCATTCAGCCCATGCTGGAGTTCGCTGCAAATCTAAATGAAGGTTGGCCAGGTTGAAAATTAAGAAATAGCGGACTGCAAGCCGCACCAATTCGAAACCCGTGCTGCGTTTCAACAACTACGCGTGCTGGCAGCCTGCAGCGGTTCAGGGCCTGCGTTGGGGTTCTCAAGCCATGCGGGCTGGCAGCCCACCGCAGTTCCGAGCCAGTGTTGGTGTTCAAAAGCTGTGCGGGCTGGCATGTCCGGAGCATGCGGGTCTGCAGCTCGCAGCAGTTGAGAGACCCTGTTGGGCTCAACTCAAGGCTTGTGTTGGAATTCAGAAGACGTGCGGGCTAAGAGCCCGCAGCAGTTAGCTTGTTGGAACTCAGTGATGTTGAAAGCCAATGTTGGTATTGAATGTTGAGATTCAAAAGCTATGGCCGTTGAACTGATGCCTGCTGCCAGCACGTGCAGCTTCTTGACAGCGACTCAAGAGTCTTGGCTAGGGCTGAGCGGTCGAGGCTTGATTCCAAGCTCAGCGACTCAGCGCACACCGCCAACTGATCTACGTCGAATTAGGTGGGCGAGCCTTGCTACAGACATTGACTGCCTTGCTCACAGAATGTCCAACAGTCTGCTTGAGGAGGCTTTGTCTTACTTGAACTCCTTGACATCATATGCTTTACGCAGAGCTTCGCGACTCCAAGCTTACCTGCAATTTTTTCTTCATAATTAAGCTTGTGCTTTGCTGATGGCAGTCGGAGCACCTTCCAATGGAAGGCGTGGAGTTCAACACAGGGTGCCTCAAAACTGTTTTGAAATGCTTGCAACCAAACCGTATTTCCTGCCCCTGCATGTCCCTCAATTCCCCATGATTATGTTCATCCCGGTATGCTCTCTGTGCAACGTCAGCACCCAAAGTAAAAACCGCGTATTTGCCCATCTGCAATCCCGACAATAGCCCCATTATGTGTACGAGCCACCCGAACCATATGGAACAGGTGTTGCTCAACACGCGGACCTCTCTCATAACCTTACATCCATCCAAAATACAAGAACTTTTGGCTCGCAGACCCTTCAGGGGATGCCACTCAACTCTGAAAAGTCCCTATTTGGGTGGTTGTCAAAATTCTGGTCCCTTTTTGGGTACCCTAAATATTAGGGGCCGTATCATAATAGGGACCCACCCGTTTCTTGCCAGGCCTTTGGACTCTCCTCTTTTGCCTTGGCCTTCTTCTCTGCTGCCGGGGGGTGGTCTGACAGAGGTGCAGAATAGGGTTCTAGGATGTTCTAGGGTAATGTTGGGTATGGGGCTGTGAACGAATGCCACTGGCATTTAGCTAGACGTCTATCAAAGCTGACCTCTGTACGCGGAAGGTCGCAAATCCATCGGCCTAAAATGTGGTACTGTAGTAATGAAGGGTTGCACATAGGCTTCTGCACATGAACTGGGCTCCTCCTTGATGGTATTGAGGAAAGAAGCAAAGCCTGTTGTGGCAAAACCAAACTTTGAGGTCCTGGCGGGCTGACCCAGGCCCTTTTTGGCCACTGAAACAAAGCATGGAGTTTGGTTGCCTCAAGCCCGTCGACTCTAGGCTCTTGAATACTTGTTTGGGGCCCGCTTGTCCTTGTGTATTCACATGCTTCCAACCTGAGCCATCTGAGCCTTTTTGCTCTTCTGACGTTACCAGCTTGCCTGGCATCCACATTGTTGTGTCAATGGCATGGGGCCTATATGATCCGTTTTTTTTCCAGGACCGGCTTCTCGGCTCAGCTAAACACCACACGTGCGGCATCTGAAACTCCCTCCAAAGCTAGGGGGGTCAAGATCCCAGTACCAGCCCCACCAAAGGAACCGCTTATGCTTAGACACGAATGGCCCATTTGTTCCCATGACTCATGAACTTCATCAAGCACGCACCTCGATAGCTGTTTGCTTGAACGACCTTGACGTCATCTCCTTGCCTGCTGCTCTTAAAAGCGATTTTCTGGAATTACGGTTCCTTGCTGGTTTCGAGTAGCACGGACTACTCCATCTCCACAGGGTATAGGTTAGGTGGACCCCCCACCCAGTAATAGTGACTATAGTGGATAATAGGGATTATATTAGGGTCCTCT